TTTGTTTGATATTATTTAATTTTTTAAATGCAAAGTGTTAATAATAGGTTCATCGATTAGATCAAATATAAGTTGAGGCATTCGAGTAAATGTTAAAAATAAGCCTCACAGCAGCGTTTAGGGCATGAAGAAAGAAGAGGCTAAATGCCGAAGAGGCTAATGTCGAAGAGGCCCCCACAAATTTGTGGTATCAAGTGGGCAACTACCAGACTATAGAGTTATTTTCAAAAGTTCAACAGCAAGTTAGAACTTTTCGAGAATAGCTCTCTAGTCATATTTTATTATATTACTTTTTTGCTCGTCATTAATTTGTAGTTGTAATTGGAGATGATGGACCATTCCATCTCCTTGGGACACCAAATTCGTGTCTATATCGTCCAAAAGATGCATATGTGTTAGTTAGAGTCAAAAATATTAAAATCTTGGTATTATTAAATTTTCAAGCTTAAATAACGTTCGGTAAATATTACATTAATTAATCCCTTTTTCTTGTTTCGTCTTTAAAATTTTTCAATGTAATCGTATTTTATTCAATTTGCAATTTTTCTTTTCTATATAATGCAACTTAAAAGTATTTCATAATAATTAATAGATATTATATTTTTTGTAGTAACGTAATATTTGTACTTTTCCTATTTCTTTATTTTTATATATTTTATGTTAATGTAAAATCACGCGTTTAAATTTAATTTCATTACAACGGTAAATATAGAGATTTGATAAAAATAAATAAAAAACTCAGTTGAAAAGTGCATCTGCGAATTGGACGATTTGTATGTTAGGCTATTGTATCACTTTTGATTGTATGATTAATATAGTTTTATTTTTGTTGCAGGTGATCATCGTTGGATTTATTATCTATTCGTTTTGATTTTCTTCTACTTTTGTTTAAAATATATATGTATAAAAAACGCATTTCTGAAGGCACACACGTATTTAGACATTAAAAATTAAATATTATACAATTATTTTAAATTTTCTTACAATATAACTATACTATATATACAATCAAAGAATATAATCTATACTATCGTTCAATGGTGGTCCCAGTAATAACAAAAATGATGCTGGGTAGATAAAAAAGGGGACTTGTGAGTTTCTATATACTTCACCACACAAAGTTGGCATAGAATCGCAACAGCAGAAAAAAATGAGTAAATGCTCTTAATTACTCACTAATTGCCTAATCAAAATCCATATAATTGCTCACTTTATTAATTAATTATTTAATTAGGTATTAATAATTGAAAAATCGAAAACAAATTACTTTTTATTATTATTTTTTAATTATTATTTTTTATCATAACACAAAAAAATTGGCATAGAACCGCAACAGTAGAAAAAAATGAAAGAATGAAAATATTTACCTATTGTTTATACATTATGAACGATTAACCTATTTCTTTTCACTACTAATTATTCATTTTTTCTGCTGTTGCGGTTCTATGCCAACTTTTTTGTGCTTTCTGCATTCTCTGCTACTATCTTTGACTAGATTGTAGGTAATTAAGAGCTTACTATTACCACCTACTCGATCAGTTTAACAGGAATGTACTATAGTGAGTACAATAATACACACGCATATGTATATATAATATATATATATTCATCTTTATTCACAATAAAATATATTTTAAATAGTATTATTTACGGCAAAATTCGTGGGTAGTTTAAATAACTATATGAAAACAACATTTATTTTCTTTTTTTTTTTAATTTTTTTTTAAATTATAATGTTATAAAAATTAAAATACTAACAATAGCATAAAGTATTATTGATATGTTATCGGAACACGTTTTATTGCTAGAATCTTCATTGGTAGAATCTTTAATGGTAGAATCTTCATTGATAAAAGCTTTATTGATAGATTTCATCAATATGTAATCAGTTCCGCAAATTCCACTATGATCATCGGTATCGATGCTCCAAATCATCACACCAGATAAACTCATTTCCTTAGCATATAATGCCTGGAAATCGCGCAAAAATTTTTAAATTTGTTTCTAACTGTAATATACTGTTATATATATATATATATATATATATATAGATTAAACTCTTGCAATTTGATCGTCTAATTTCTGGGACGCCATTTGTATATGTTCAATTCACGATGGTAATGAAACATATGCATACATACTTACGTATACTTAAATATTAAAATTTATTTTGCATAGACTATAAATGTTATGACATTCTTTGTAACTTACTTTCGTTTTTAAACTTATGTAATCGTCGTAGAAAATTACTCGGTCTTCATTTACCGCGTATGGTGTATTACTGTCGTTATCCCATCTGGAAATCCATTTCTTATCCTTTAGTTCTTCGCAGATCTATACAAAAATATATATTGGTTTAAATAAAAATAAAGTAGTACTAATCATATTTTGTACTTAAAACGCATACAATTCCACATACTTCGTTATAACCCATAAACCCATCTTGAGAAGTATAAGGCCCTTTAAAACCATCTTTGTCACAGGGCATTCCAGTAGGATTTTCATTAGGAGAAATTATCTTATTCGAAATATATGTTCGTCCATACATTGGTAAACCTAGAACGAGTTTCTTAGCTGGTGCTCCTAATTGTAGTAAATAGCTCATAGTAGCATTCTTAAAAAAAGACATAAAACATTGATACTGATAATAAAATTAATTTAATAGCAAGAATATTAACGCCTTGGTTGTTAACTGAAATAAATCTTAACTTGAATGTTGATTAATTATTTGAAAATATTAAAACGAAGAAGATTATTACTTACCACACTTTCATCATTATTACTGTATAACGGAGCATTCGGAAGAATTTTTAAATTCCATGAACCATGATAATCATATGTCATAACGTGTATATAATCGAGGTATTTGGAAATATATGAAATATTGTATCCCTCGTCGATTATTTTCTTATTTGCGCTTATAGCTGCGGTTAATATAGAATTGTAAGGCAACTGTTGTTTTAATTCCTATTTTAGAAAAATATAATCATTAAATAGATGAAGACATCATCGTTGAAGAAAGAGTCAGTATTGAAAAAGGACGATGATAAAATTTATAATAAGATAATATTTTATGTTATTTTTTTTTTTGATCGAACTGTCTTGTAATTTTTACAATTATTAAAAGCGTTTATTATTTATATATATATAATCGTATTTATATTATTAATATATAATTATTACTGAAATAATATATTTACTTTAATCAACAAGGAAAAATTGTCTTTATCCTTTGAATTACCGCCTCGTTGAGAAGGAAATTCCCAATCTAAATCGACGCCATCAAATTTGTATTTTCTTCGTAAAAAAATGACACGTGTATATATGAATATAAATTATTATAAGAACAAAAATATATATCTAAAGATTATCAATTACATACTTAAGAAATTTTGAAATGCTATCTATGAAGGTCTTTCGTTTGTTTTCATCTTTAGCAAGAATTGAAAAATTCCCGCTACCTTCATTCCAACCACCAATAGCTATTGAAACTTTTAATCCTGGATAGTTTTTACGAAGTTCTGACATTTTTTGGTAATTACCAATTCCTGAAAAAAATACATATTGTCATTTTTATTACGCTTATATTACGTTCATATATATTTATATATATACAGTCAGGGACAAAAATAAGTGGACAGGCATTAAAAATGGTTATCCCTTTACTATTGTCCTCGACACTATATATCTTATTTTATTTAAATTTAAAAAATACCATCTTCTATATCGGCCCATGGATCAAGACTTTTTATTTCCCAAGTGGTTGTATTCAAGCCCGCGAAAGCGTAAATCAAATGTGTACAATATTGTGGTTTTAAATTATCTAATGTAAATTTGCCTTTCGAAAGCCTATACCTTGCCCAACTAGCGACATAACAAGCAACAACCTTTCCGTGCTTTGGAATTTCTTGACCTAAAAATTGAGAAAAAAATGTATTACCTTTAATTAATATTATTGAAGTGAAAACTCCTTTAGTTTTTCATTACAAGTTTTACAGATAAATGTTATATTTCAGGAATTATAATAAACATTTACCTTTGTATAATCAACAAACAAACAAAAATGTTACGATATTAGTACGATTAACATTACATGCTAATTTTTAATATATATAACGATAAAGTCTTAGACTTATGATAAGATAACATATAAATCTTATCAATCACTTTATTGTTAATATAAATATTTTTCCTATTTTTACTATTATATTTATTTTTATTCTTTTTATTTTTATTCAACACGAAAGCAATATAAGTAAACATAATTATATCGAATATCAAAATGCACTTTTTTCAATTCGATTCAAATAAAAATCACAATTAAATGAAAATCGATATATTGACAATAGAATTATCCGTATGACCGATATACCGAACAACTAGATTTAAAAAAAAATGTATTTATTTAAATACAATGATTTAAAATCTGTTAAAATGTCAAATCATCTTTATTCATCGATACATAGAAAATGTCAATGACGTTCCTGATTTTCTTTAATTTATGTCGATGGTATTCACCTTTCTCTCCGAATTTCTCGACAATGAAATATAATCGAGTATAGTTTAATAGCTTTCGCGCTTGAAACGAATAAATTTCTTTTCAAAATTGTATTGTTTTATTCGAATGGCTATAAATACTATATATTAAAGGTTATAAAAAATTAAAGAATATTAACGAGGAAGTATTTAATCTGTTGTCAAAAAGTAACGAACACGAGTAAAAAAATAAAATGAGATTGGAACATTTGATCAAAGGATCTGATTGTAAGATAAATTTTTTTGAAGAATCATATATACTGTGTTTAATTTACCTTGAATGCCATCAATGTAGAAAAAGAAAAGCATTAAAAGACATGGCGTAAGATTTCTCACCAGATTCATCCTTCTATATTATATACTTCTGACTTATTGCGAATGCCGAGTTATTGTCCCGTTCACTCTGACTTTCTCTTATGGATTCTCGTACCGCACTGCTTTTATAAGAGAAGTGAGAGATAAGCTATCGAAGAAAAGGACGGAGATAGAACCTGTTGCACCGTTAAATATAAGAAACCTATTATTTCAATATTTTCAAATTAGTCAATATTTTAACAAAGTATAACTTTAAAAATATTGAAATCAATATTCAGAAATCATAAATGCATATAATTTTTTACGATATAAATTTCGATATAAATGGATTAAATTGTTTATAATATATATTAACTAAATTTAAATTTTATATTTCAATGAACGTTTACATTCGTTCTCAATGTAAAATATTTTTATTATATACAAAAATATTATTGATTTCAAAAGTGAAATTGTTGATATTCAAAATGGTTTCACTCTTCCCGCGTAAATGACGAACAACATAGCTGCTACAATTTGATTGGCTTTGATTACTTCATCCAAGAGGATGCATCTTTTTAAAGTATAACAAAATAAGTTTCTATATCTAATCTCGTTCGGTTTTATAATTTATCTACGATTGTTTAACGTTCATTAAAAAAATTGAAATAACTTCAATATCATAATTATTTTTAGAAATAGTGCATTTTTTAACGTTAAAAGTGTGTAGTTAACAGCGATTTATTGACACTGCTACACATAAGAGGTTATTTTAAAATTTATTTATAAGGAATAAAATGCCTTTAATTATAATAACAGGTATTCCTTGTAGTAGTAAAACTACAAGAACTTTACAATTGAAGGAATGTTTCGAAAATGAAATGAAAAAACGTGTAGATATAATTAATGAAATCGATGTGATATATAAAACAGGTTATGATAGAAACTCATTTTATTCTGGTTAGTAAATATTGTAATGTTTTAACCTCCAAGATAGTTTACTCGGTACTATAACCATAATAAAAAATATTATTATCTATATGCATGTACACACACAAATGTATGTTTTAGATTCTAAAAAAGAAAAATGTATTAGAAGTAATATCAAATCTATGGTGCAGAGGATATTGAATCCAAACGATGTACTAATAATAGATGGTAGCAATTATATTAAAGGATATCGCTATGAAATTTACTGTATGTCTAAATTATATAAAACACCGCAGTGTACAATACATTGTGATATACCTATTGAACATGCTTGGCTGTGGAATGAAAAAAGACCGATATCAGAACAATATAGTAGAGAAATATTTGATGCGCTTGTAATGAGGTAAAATAGAAATATCAATTAATATTTTTATAAAACTAATAAAATTATGAATAATAGGTATGAAACACCGGATAATAAAAATCGATGGGATGCTCCACTATTTTCTGTGATGCCAGAAGATGATATAAATTTCAATGATATTTATAAGTCCCTCTATGAAGTTAAGGCACCTAAACCAAATCAAAGCACACAATGCGTTAGTACTTTTAACATTCTATTAATTTAATTATATTTACAATTAATGATTGTTTTATTACAGCTACCTTTATCATCCACAAATTATTTATACGATTTGGACAGAATAACACAAGATATTACTAGTGTAAGTTTACTAACAATTTCAAGCGAGCAGCTGAAACGATATTTTTTATTTTTCGTATATATAAAATGCTTACTTATTTTTTTCTTTATAGACAATATTATCGGCTAAACAAATGGGAGTCGAGAATGATGTAAAAATTCCTCAATATGGCTTAACGGTGCAAAAAACTGGTAATACACCTCAAATGATGAGATTGCGAAGGCAATTTTTAACATATAGCAAAATGCATCAAATTGATACTAATCAAATAGCTCTATTATTTGTACAGTATCTTAATAAAAGCTTATAAAGTATAAGCTGCAAATGCAATTTTTTTTCTCTAAGTAGAAATACTTTAATCACACATTACAAATGTTAATATATGTAGGAAAAATTATATTTTCTATAATATTATTACAAGATATACAAAAGGTTGATATTTTTTAACAAACAATCGTGTAGAATAGATTTTATTATAAAATTATATTAATTACATCATTAAATCTAAACTAACTTACATCTAAATTGATCTGCACTTATTCCATATAACAAATTATTGCTTATTTCTGAAGATCTTAAAAATAGCAAAACATAAAAATGAAACAATCATATTTGTGTAGTTCTTCAATTATACGCAAAATATGTCAAATGATAATAAAATTATGCATTAAGGAAGAATAATGGAAGAAACTATATTATCTTGACAATGGTAAATACATCTACGGACTTGTAATTTTGTATTGAACTTAGCAATACACATTCATTATATTCATTTCTTTTTACATACTTTGTAACAGTCTTATGTCTTATATTTACGATTTATATTTACTTTAAATTTATTTTTTTTATTTAATTTTTCGGAAAAATGAAGTATTAATAATATAAATAATTTATACAATAAAAATATCTGAAAGGCACTGACGCAGAAGATCGATATAAAGCTTAAATAGTCAGATTTATAATGTTGAAATTCAAATTTTGTTCCTTACGACGAAATATAATATACAGGTTTTATACATCAAATTAACTTTTTTGCAAATCATATTCACTTTTTAATATTATAATTTAAAACTCTTTCAGATCATATTTGCGAAAAATTCAGAACACACACACACATACAATTATTCTTTAAATATTTATTACTGTAAATAGGAAAATAATTTAACTCCTAATTGTTGGCTAGTCAATTTGATTTGCCGAAAAAGGTGAATATGATCTGTAAAAGGGTTAATTTGGAGTGCAAAACCTATATAAATTAGATATGTTATTCTCATTGTATTTTATTGAGATTTATTAAATAAGACAATGGATTAACTGTATTTAATGAGAGAGTTCAATTTGTAAGGTAGTTAGAAAATAATTGTTAATATGAACATAATAGAAAGATAGAGAGAAAAAAACGCTTGAAAAGTATTTACTTCCACATTTGCCATTACAAAATTATATATTTGAATAATAACACATATAACGAAGTAAAAACTTTCAGTGATCATTTATATATCATTCTCTATACATGCTTTTTACAATAATTTTTGAAAGGAATTAATGATAATATAGAAAAATGATACATTTATTTATGTAAGCTGTAGTTTCTTCTCCGATGAAACTTTGTCTGTTCGTTTAAATTAATTTGATTTTTTAACTTGTCTTCATAATTTGCAATAATGACCAAGGATAAAGAAAAAACTAAATAAGGCTTCGTTAGCACCTGTAAAGATATGTCATTAGCATTATTACTAACGTTAGTAAATCGAAATATTCCCAACTAAACAGCAGAAGAGAGCAGAAGAGGAAATGGTCATATTTTACATTGTCATAGCTATTAATACACGATGGAAACAAATAAACGTTAATTATTATGCTAGATCACAAATGTAAGACTCATTAGGGAAATTGTCAAATTGTTACTAAAAGTTACTGTTTTATGCAGTTATTAATTACATTTAGTTTTGTACTATTAAAGAAACTTATAGATGTTAACAAAAATTTAGTTCTCAGGGGAATATGAAATAACACTTATTTGTATCCAAATAAGCTTTTGAATCACAGAAATTGTTTTACAATACCAGAAGTTAAATATGTTATGGTTGTCTTTGAATTTGTTCTGTATAAATTGTAGTACTTTAGTCCTTGTACAATTCCATCAATTTTCCTCATGAGTAAAACATATTAGATTTGTCAAGATTTAATTTTCTTGTTCTTGTTCTTGTATGCCATTACTTTCAGCACCATTTTGATGGCCCAACATATTAATATGCCTTTTAGGTTTCCGACATACAAAATAAACGCTATTATACTCGCACTGTAACATACTGTTCACATTTTGCGCGTAACGTGTTTTCATATGTGTCTCTTCTTTCTAAATAATGATAAACATATAGGAATGTAATTTACATTATGGGTGTATCTTTTCTATATAAAAAAAAAAAAAAAAAAAAAAAAAAAAAAAAAAAAAAAAAAAGAAAAAAAAAAGAAGAAATTAATTACCTCAAGATGAAAACCAAAACCTTGTATAACATCACGAACCGCGTCATAACTTGGTTCTATTGAATCTTCCATAGGCATGTCACTAAAATGATACAGCAACGGACCAAGATTTATCCATACTCCTCCCGGTTTTAAAATTTTATAGATGGTTTCTATAAATTGTACCACGTTGTTTGCACAATCTATAAAGAAACATGTAGCAACACAATCCCAATGATCATCTTCCGTATAAACCTATAATTTAAATTTTCATTAGTACACTTAGTCCAGTTCTAAATAAATATTATTTTTTAGATAACGTAAAAAGACAATTACTTCTAAGAAATCTCCTGCCGTCATAGAAAATTGTGCATTTTCTGGAAGATCACTGGGATTTACATCAGGGAAGAAAACAGCCTGCGTTTGATGTTCTGGTTTTAAATTGTTCATATATTGGTGTACCCATGGATGTACTTGATATGAATTTATACCTCTGCATCTATAATATTCATTTTCACAGTATCATTATTGTCATGGTACCATCATTCGAATTCGAGTACCTTATTTAACTTATTAACGATAAAAATGATAGTGTTTTTACAATACTCACTTATTTAATACAAAATGTGACGCGAAGAGCATAAAGAGAGAAAATTCGTTCCCTTGGCAAGTGTAACCACGCCTTGCAATTTCATACGCAAGACGACCCAATCCTGCACCAGGTACTAGAATTTGCACTTGTGATGGAGTACTGGAAATTTACCTATCATTTCATATTTTTCTGAACTATTTTTAGCTAGGACACAGAGGTTTTGCAAATAATGATATCTAGATTTTGTACACGATAATAGTAACTTTAAGTGGAATCTGAAAGCTTGATCATAGATTGCTTATATTCTTAAATATCATGATCATTATTAAGATAAAATCTAGCAATATGTATTAACATATTGTAAGAAAGTAGACAAAATATTCGTACCATTTATCTAATGGAAATTGATTAGTTATTTCATCTATGATAGGCTGATAGCAAGCCTTACGTTCTTCGCTTCCTTCCACGCTCCAGTCACGAACTAATTGTTTAATAGTAGCTTGTACTTTTTCTTGGTCAGCCAATACAGGTCGGGTGTTCTGTGTCTGCAATCAGACCTACCTATAGAATATATCTTTGTGAAAATAAGCTTATTAGTGATACGTTTTATAAATTAGTTATATATTTAATTAATTAATATATATTTCAAAAGTGCAGCTATAAACTATATTTTATGATAATGAAAAGTGAATTGTATTTGAATATTAGAAATTATTAAATTTGATATATTATACATAGCATTAGACGTATCATAAGAAATAATGAAGCATGCGACAAACCAGGTAAAGTTTTCTTACACTATCATTTTGTGCACTAGCTGGGCTCACATTTTCAAAAATATGAGCTACATCTTTTATGATGAGCCTTATTATGTCGTTGTTATATTCAATACATCTCTTGACTTCCTGAAGATGTTCTTTATATTTTGATAAGAGTTTTTGATGATGCACTGGTAAGGATAATAGATAGGATTCTGTCTTTTTAACTCTCTGCAGGGAATGAGATCTATGGAAAAAAATTTTTATTTTTTAAACATATTTTGTATTTCATTTTGATATTGCGTGCATGTTTATTCATACTTACACAACTATATATATATATATATATATATATAAAATCACGTAAATATTTATCGACTTCACGAAGGACATGAGTATTAATATCTAATGCGAAATTGTATTTAATAGCTAATGAACTTATGAACCTGACAAGATAATATCAGAGCCATTGTACTTTTATTAGAATAACAACTTTGATCCATAAACACCGATGACATAACTTGCATACGAGTATGAGTTTAATATATAACAAGAGATAAATGAATACACTATAAAAGCTCTCGCAAGAGACTAGTTACCTATCTATTAACGGGTTAAACAAAAAGATAATATTTAACATAAATCGTATAATCGATGAGAAATAAAAATCATATACAATTGTGTAGTCGTGTGAGAAAAGAAAGAAAAAAATGAAGGTAACAGAAATAAGGTTAAATCATCATAGCAAAGATTACAAATAAAAAAGAACATTGATCGTTCATTTTCAATGGGTCTACTCACTTGTAATGTCTGAACGCTGAAACAATACGTTGAAAATGTTTCTTCTCCTCTTCATCCTCGTAAGAATCGTGAACTTTTCTCGAATACGCATTCTGCATCGATTCCATTTTTATACTCGCACACGTAGGCCCTACTTTTTCCTAATTAGCCTTTTAACACGATGTTCGGTGGCGGCTTCCTCGGCACAAGCGTTACGCCGAGTTTACAATACGACAGCAAGATTAGGTTTAAGGCTCCACCGATTTGATTCGTGACGACAAACCATGCCCTTGCCAATAATACACTATTGTCACTATGACGAAAGCATCCTCAAATCTTCAGTTAAATCAAGACAAATTTTGGCTCGTGCGAGATTACTTTTTTCTACTAATTATTAATGATTATAATTAAGGTATATATTTAAAATTTTTCAATAAATCAATTACTTAACTTATCGATCGAACTTTCCGTTAATTATCAATCGAAATCTTGAAAGATATGAATCGAATAAAACAAATGACGATACATTTGGTTACACAGTAAAGATAAGCATTTGTTATTCAGAAAATAATGTATAAAATTGAGCCGTTTATTTGGAAAATGTCATAAGACTTTTTACTGTAATGAAAAATGATAATTTTTCAATGTCTATATGAAATTATTTATAACGTAAATGCTTAAATATTTCGATTTGAAAATAAAGCGACTATCAAAATAAACGACTCAAATATAGATAGAATTTTTATGCGTATATCTTCGCGTACCGTGCCAAATTTATAATCGATTTCTAAGGTAATATTTTGATCGATCTTTGTAAATAAATTCTTTGTCGAAAAGGAAGAAGTTTCAAAACAAATATGGTACTTATTTCGAATTCGTTTTTTTTCTTCCTTCGATATTTCACAACGACCATTCGATTTGTCTGTGATTAGAAAAATAAATTTGTAAATCGATGAAGAAAAGAAAAGTTGAGAGGAGTAGAAGAAGAAAAAAAAGGAAAAGCAATAATATGAAAGTCGCAGTGCCGGTGACCGGCGCAGATATCTGCGATACTGCAGAACATCTATAGTCGTTGCGGCTCGCAGGTGTGACATGCTCGCATACGCCATTTTTAAAAGGAGCTCTCAGTCGCTAATCAGCAGCCGCGCGGCATACTTGCGAGAGTAACGTTGGTTGAAGTAGCGGCCTTATCGTTGACGAGACTTTGCAAAAAAAAAAGAAAAGAAAAGAAAAATAACTCCTCACATTTATTTCATATCGAAATCGCAAGTGAGAACATAATAGGGTGAGATTTGGGTGATGCATTTCACGATGACAACGGCGTGACTTGTGGAGCGTACGAATCGGTGTACCGAAGTGCGTCGTCGATAGTTCCTTTATTTGTTGCGATTTGGAATTTTGGTCAGTGGTCGTCGCTGTAGGTACGAATCGAGTCTGGTACTCTCCTCAAACTGCGCGATTTGGAAAGAGAAGGGAGATAGATAGTGAAAGAAGGACAGAGGCAAATATATTGAGAGAGAGAGAGAGAGAGATAGAGAGAGAGAGAAAGAGAGAAAGAGAGAAAGAGAAGAAAAAAAGAAGCAGACAGCAGAGAAACAGAGAAGTACCATTGCTAGAGAGAAAAAAAGAGGCAGCATGTCCAGTGCGCCGCAAGTTTCCAGCGGGCTTAGCAAGCTGAAAAAAAAACATTTTCGGGTTAAACATCAAAAGGTTAAACTCTTTCGTGCCAACGAGCCGCTTCTAAGCGTCTTCATGTGGGGTGTCAATCATACGGTAAGCGTTCATCATCATCGTCAATTCGTTCGTACGTCGTTCATTGCGCGTGTATATATATATATATATATATGTATATATGTATGTGTGTGTAAGAGGGAGAGACGTGTCGCATTTATATGACAGCACGTCGTATTGTACGTCATTGCGATTGCCATTTTCTCTATTTATTCCATCGTCACGATTGGTAATACTTTTAATGAATGTTTAATAATGTTACCTATTTCATTGGATTTTCATTTTTTTCTGAACTTCATACAGCGCGCTATTTCAAATTGTGCAAGCCGACGTCACGCTCTGAAAAGATTGCAATTTTTTTTGTTCTTGCAGTATATCTTTTTACTTATACTTTACAATACTTATAACTTTATACAGTATATTTTTTTACTTCGATCAAATTACAGATTATATTTATAGATTTAATTTAATACAATTTATGATTTTTTAATATTTCCTGATTAATTTTTGTTGAATAGTATCGATATTCATACTTTTACCTTTACAATCATTTATTTACATCTAAGAACACTGAAACATACCGTATAACATTATTTTTGATATTTTAACTATAAACATTTTTCATGGTAGATACTAAAATGGAAATACATTGTCTTTTTTTATATATGGACACGTTTTTTCTTAACTATGGATAATGGCATCTGTATACACAGATGTATGATCTCATTACATGTGGATAAGCCTATAAATACCACAAATGATATTATATATATATGTAACATGCATTAAATATTTGGATGCAATACTTCCCAAAGATGCTATTTAAAATTACCGTTTATATAATTATTTTTTGTATAATAATGAATAATAATTAATATTGTATTCTTATTATTACAGATAAATGAACTTAGTCATGTTAATATACCGGTAATGCTTCTACCAGATGATTTCAGAGCTTATAGTAAATTAAAAGTAGATAATCACCTTTTTAACAAGTAAGTGTATACTTCGATTTTATTTAAATATTATCATTATTATTTCATAATCATGGAAACATCTTTTTAAGGAATATTTTATTACATAAATTGTTATAAATTGTATATCCTAATAGTTGAAAAACATCATTTCATCTAATGTTAGATATTTATACGTTTTAACGTTGCGTTCAAATGTCTTTGGTATTTTCAAGCAATCGTTACTCTTAATGTTCATGAAGTATCATTAATGTAAATTTAAAGCATGCCAGTCAGCTAGTCCATTCTAAATATACCACTTAATATTAGATTGTTAGGTTGGTCACAGCAAACCAGCCTTTAATAATAGAATCAATGAAGGTCTTTCTATGACCTAGCATTGTATTAGTAAACAATGAAGGTATTGATTTTACTTGAAATATTATTTTGTTATGAATGTATGTATTAATTTTTAATTACAGAGAAAACATGCCTTCTCATTTTAAAATCAAAGAGTATTGTCCATTGGTATTCCGTAATTTGCGTGAAAGATTTGGGATAGACGACCAGGATTATAAAGAGTCTATGACAAGGTAATACAGAGAATAATTCAATTTTCAATTATACATTATCATTGTGGCTGCAATATTGTGTAATTTTACTTCACACAAAATCAGTTACCATTTTATTACATACATATTATTATGTGAAACCTTACATTTTGATAAATAGCAAACAAGCATTTGAATGTTGTGATGTGAAGTATAAACATTGTTTATTAGTTCACATTGCACGTACACAAGAAAACTTATTGTTTATTCATTTTCTTTCTTTAAATTAATTGCTACAGATAAATTGAATGTACTCTTTACTTTGCATGTCAGCAGATACTATGTTTACTTATTTGCAGGTGTAGTATCTTTCAAAAAATTGTTATTTTGAGAGAAAATAATCTATATGCACACTTTGATATTATGTATTAATTTTTTTTCTATTATGGTATTATTCCAAAGATAATGTCACATAAAAATACCTAAAATAAATTAAATTCTCTCAAATATTAATCATTGTGCTTTAGAGATCTTTGTTTGTATGTTTGTCTTTTGCTAGAAATAAGAAAGCATGTATGTTTTAGATATTGGTATTGTTAGTAATAATAGATTGTTTGATAACTTTTCGTTTAATATTTTGTTTCTTGTTATTATTGTTAATGTAATAATGGATAATAAGATAATAATACCATCATTGTGGACATTTTTTAGATATTCTTAGTTTAGCGTAAATAACTTATGTACAGTTCTCAATTTGTGAAGCAAAGAATACAGATTTTGTCATACGGAGATCATCTGACACATGGATTCATACTTTCCTGCATCAACCAAAAGATAATTTGTAATTAATAGTACGTCTTGTAATACAAAAATTTTGCTAATAGATGTCGAGCATATAATCCTTCGCGACGTTCGGGTTTGGTCACACTCAGTGGGAGGACTCATCAATTGGTTCAGCGTTCAGCTACTGCTCCCTCAATAAACTTTACTCCTCCTCCTTTTATATCTCAAATTTCAGTCTTAAGTAAACCACTACGTACCTACAGTTTTAAACCAAAACGCTTGAGGTTAGCCAGACTTGATTTCCCATTCTGTGCGTGTCTTGTGGTTAACACAATTTGATGAGTTTCTCTTTGACGACAGAGATTCGGCACGAACTTTAAAGTTGCATTAATTATTTTTCATAGACCTACCTTTTATACGATCTAATAATAGTTTATATTAACATTATTCTTTCAAAATAAATTCAAGAAACTTAATTTTGATTAAATTAAGCATGCTTAACCATTTGAGTTCCAGCGCTCCTTGGAAAAATCTTGTTGAAAAGACCCAAGCAGCATGATGGCATTTATCTCAGTTTATATCAAGGAGATCTAAGTAATGATATCATGTTAATTTTTATTAATGTGACTGGCGAGCATCAATTAAGTTGAATACTCCAACTTTGGCAGAATTCTAGTATACTATCAATTGTCTACAATAGAAAAAGGCAGTGGGTATTTTTGACATGAAATCTAAAGGGAACTCAAACGGTTAAAATTGAAGTGTTCAAATATTAGAATTTTTTTAATTTATTGAAATATTTGAAAAATCTTACTGTAACCTGACACAAATATCAAAATATTTTCATTAAATTAGATAATTGTGTATGTTGTTGAAATGTATTAAATTCTATTATGATCGTGCAATAGTTATTTGAAATTTGTATGAGTAACTACAAATTGACGTGATTTAATAATACATTCTTACCAAATAATGAATTTGTTATATAGTAGTAATTTATTCTATGTATTATTTGGCTTTCCAAGTTTTGCTTTGTGCACTGTTTGAATGTTTGTTTGCTTGATTTTATGTTTCAATAAATAGGATGATGACTAATTTTGCTTAATTGCCTTTTATGTACTCAAGATTTTTTACTATTTTTATTATGTAGAGAATTTCTTTATCTTATTTTCATTTGATTAGCCTTAAATTACAGATCAATAGCAGATATATTAATATGCTGTATAGCTTTGTACCGAATATATTGAAAAGAAAACGATAGAATAATATCTAGTTATATGAATTAGATTTAATTTAATTTTCTTTTTTATAGGTCACAACCTGTACTCGATGATTCATCGGGTAAAAGTGGTGCTAAATTTTATCAATCCTATGATAAATTATTTATTATTAAAACTCTTACAAGTGAAGAAGTCGAAAGGATGCACTCATTTTTAAAACATTATCACCCAGTAAGTAAGCTAATTTTTTTCTTTTAACTTCGTTATAATATAAATGTGATATTTTGTAGTATATTGTGGAACGACATGGCAAAACCTTACTACCACAATACCTTGGGATGTATCGATTAACGGTGGATGGCGTTGAACATTATGTTGTTGCTATAAGAAATGTCTTTTCTAATCATTTAACGACGCACAAAAAATTTGACTTGAAAGGTTCCACTGTAGATCGTGAAGCATCCGATAAAGAAAAGGAAAAGGATCTCCCTACATATAAAGATAATGATTTTGTCAAGGAAGGAATGAAAATTTACATAGGAGAAGAAGCGAAAACAAAACTCATAGAAACTTTAACTGCTGATGTTGATGTGAGCATTGTCGTTATTATGTCTTTTTATGATTAAAAATCTTCATGAAGTAATTATGTTACAGTTTCTAACAAGATTACACTTAATGGATTATTCCTTATTACTTGGTCTACACGATTGCGCTCGTGCGGAACAAGAAAATAGAGAACGTGCAGAAAGGGAAGAAGATGAAGATAATCACGACGAGGAAGATGATAGTGAGTCTGGTAGTGGATTAGATTCAAGAGGTCCAATGGGAGAGTAAGTTATTAGTAGCATTGTTAATCGTTATATTATATATATAATTCGTCGATAATATATATCGTATCTTTTATAATATTATGAAGTATTATTTCTGTTTCTTTTAGTCGACTTTGGGGTTGGAGTGGGGTTACAGGCATGGCTACGCCGCCAGAATCACCTCATGCAGCTTTAGTGCGTGATGCGAGCCTTCAATATGAGGATACAATAATACCCGAATTAGATATATATGCTATTCCCAGTAAAGAAGGTAATATCAAAAAATAAAAAATAAATCAATGAAATGTCTTTCGTTTTATGTATCTATGGTTATTCTAATTACCATTCATTTTATTCACCAGGTGCCCCTACGAAAGAAATATACTTTTTAGCCATAATCGATGTATTAACACATTATGGTGTACGCAAACAAGCTGCAAAAGCAGCTAAAACGGTAAAGTACGGTGCCAATGTGGATGGTATATCAACGTGTGATCCTGAACAGTATGGCAAACGATTTATAGAATTTATGAGTAAAGCCATAGAATAATTTTAATATTTTTTATTATGATAGAACATATGTAAAGATGCATAAAGAATTTAAGAATCGTGAAGGTACTACTACTGCTTGTACTGTTATGCTAGTAAAATATGACTATGAGGAATATTATTGAAAGGTTTCACTAGAAGTAAAACTCGCTTACAGATGCGACCAACAACACCAAGTGCAGCCTTTAAAATGCGGGTTAGAGTAAAACATCATTTTTTTTTCTCTGCACAATTTAAAATGGTAAATTTATTCTTAACCGATATTTATCGGCACATTATTTTTGTCATGTTAAATTACTTTAACTGTTGAATTTTTGCACGAACTTTCTACGTCATATGATTCAAATTATTCTTAAGCTTAAGCTTATTTTTTGACTGAGTCCGTGCTTTAACTAATATGGTTATGTTTATATATTGTATGTACAGAGATTTTTAGAGAAAGCAAGAGAGAGAGAGAGAGTGAAAGAGAGAGAGCGAAAGAGAGAGAGAGAAAGAAAAAGAAAACTTTAAAACATAGTTTTTTCATCTACTTTTAATCCACTAATTTTATAAATGAGTAACAATAACGTCGGATAGAACATTCAATATAGTTTATAGAATAAAAAAGTTATAATCAAATATGTGACGCATAGATTTAAATTCTAATTGTTTATGTGTGTATCACGTGTATTCCATTAGATGGAATATACTTATAAACAATAATAAGGGCAAGACTATAAAATGTAAATGTTAATTTACCGTCATTGGTATTACATAAATGCTTTACAAAAGCTATGGTAATTATTGTAAAAGGCAACGGAATTAATGGTATTAACAAATTATAGAGAAAAAAATATTCAAAAATAATGTTGATGTTATATGTAATAGTACTTGGGAAGAGTACAGTTATTCTGCATCGAGACTTTTCAATTGAGTCTAAAGAAATCAATGAAACGATCTTAGGCGTTTTTGATTTCATCGTTGCAGGATTGAGAGAGTGAGAACGAAAATATTTAAAGTAAAGACATACGATTGGATATTATATTCAATATATATTTTATTCCAATAATGCGTTTTTCATTTTGGTAGTATAACAAAGAGAATATAAAATAATATATGTGCAAAAAATAAGAAGGCTTACAAATAAAATACATATATAAATATTATAACAAAACTAAGTAAATGTTATAAAATCTGTAAATCTGTAATTTCGGTTATACATTGTATATTGTGAAGCGAATTTTATGTTCAGATGCAACATATTCACTTATAGCTCGTCGGAAGTCTAATAGGGAACAAAATCAATTGTATGTACCTATGATGCGTGCGATATATGTTTCCTTGAATTTTTAGCATTGCTTATCATAAGGAAATTGATGCCGTGATAAAGCATCATTGTTGTGTACGGATAGTCATTATTGCAGTTATACACCTTTTGCTTTAAGTAATTTTAATGCTATTTTTGCAAGTTTGTAAGAACAGTAACTGTTAGCACAAGAGATTATACTCTACAATCCTTTAAGCATAAATTTAACTAATATTTTACTTACATTTTTTCCAGTACGTGTCGTTTCCTAGTTCTTTCATATTTGATATAACTATATATTATATCTATTGCATGAAGGGAAGTGCACCGTTGCATAAGACTATCTTTAGACGATCTAATAATCTAACTTTTATAATTTGTTAGGATTGATAACGATATAACGACTAATTACTTTACCAATTAAGGTATTCATCTAGTCTCGATACTTTATATGATTTTATACATTGTAAGCACATTAAGGAGGTAGGAGGTAACAAAATTGAATCATATTTGACAGTAACTACATTATATTACAGTATCAGTTAATATGATACGTTCAATCTGTAGCATATAAAAATTGTATCATATATACAAGGTGTCTGAAGTTTTTCCAGCTTAAACAGTGTCTGCGCATTCTATGCACGAAAATTAAATAAAAATGTTAAATGTTAAAAACCTTCAGAAAGCCTGTATATATTTAATTAAATTTTTAGCTTCTTTTATTATAATGGCACCATTTTACAAAAATGTTTACTGCAAATATGCTTCTACAAATTACTGCTCTATAAGATTTTTTCCATACTCTTTTTTCTATGATATATTTCACATATAACTTGCAAAGTACTTTGTATTTAAATTATATTAATGAAAAAACTATTGCATTAATATAATACGTTAAAATTGACCTTTTCGTAAGTGGCATTGTGTAAAAATTATGTATATATTCAGTATTTTGTTGATGGCAATATATCTCAAGTTTTGTTATTATAATTGTACTATTCACTTACAATGTCTGTTGTATAAGCTTTGGGGAAATAAGTGGATACCTAAAATCCATTAAACTCGAATAAAGACACATTATTAAAAAAGAATAATACCTTGTAACATTTTGTATTTTGTTTATTGAAGGTAAATACGATGAACAAATTCATTATTGCAGACATTTTTAAAAATAATTTCTTCTATTGAAAAAAAGTAGTAAGCACATATATGTCTGTCTTAAAAGTCAGATCCAGATCTATTAATGTCATTAACATATATTGCACGAAGTCAAATAAATCATCTTATTTGTGGAAACAAAATATTAATGTTTAACTTATAATAATAAAAACAATATATATAGACTTTTACTCAAATATTATACATTAACATTTGTACTTCTGTACTTCTATACAACAAAAGAAAGAAAACATTTTGTGTTTTATTATACTAAAAAAATGACAAGAATGTGGCAAAGAAGCCTAAAATTAGATGTATATTGAGATTCATTTTCATATGCGAAGTTTCTTAGAACCAGTCTCAACAGATAAACAATTATCCGAAGAAGTTAGTTGATCCTTGCTTCGTGGACTTAGAGTTACGCTACGTTTTCTTGTAACTGGTGATAATTGTTTTAAATATTCCATGTCGTTGAACACTACTTGAGCACCACCGCTACACGTCGGTAATATATCACCCTAAATTAGAAAACCATATTATCAATATATTTAAGAAAGAAATATTTGATTTTAACTCTATATATAATTATAAAAATAACCTTGTATAATTTTGTTTCCAGTTCCCCATCTTCATCTTGATTTTGAGATACAAGACAATATCGAGACGCTCTGTTCGTGATATCCTTTGGATCTGTTAAATGTGTAACGCTTCGTTTACGATGCATTATAGGTTGAAGTATTGTTCCAACTGGTACTATTGGAGGAGGCCGATGATCGATCCATCTGTCTACACTTTGCGACCGCCTATATCGAGGATTAACTACTGGGAGTTTCTCCTGAAAAAATTTAATTAATATTAGATTATTCCAACACTTAATTGAACATAATTATGGTGTTTATTTTTTAATTACTGTATTATTATAGGCAATGGAAGTACTATTTTACTTTTGTGTTAACATCTCCAGCATTAGACTCCAACATTTTTGCCAACGCTTGAACTGTTGTTGTTCTTGGAGTAGTATCTTCAATTCTATCTTTAACTGTAGATTTAGCAATACTACTAATTGTACTCGATGTAGCAGTTTCAGGTATGTTAGTTGTTGTTACAGGTATAGGTTCTTTACGATTAATCATTACAATATCACTCGCATTATCGTCCACCAATATTTGTTTAACTAACTTTAACTTATCGTCTTTTTCTTTCATTTGATTCTACAAACATTATAATTATATACTCAAATTGTTTAAATTAGCCATGATTCAAAATACAATATATGAATTTTATTTATAAATCTTACATACTTGCAAAATCTCTCTTTGTTGTTGCAGTTTTGTTTCTAATTCTTTACTCATTTTTGCCGCTTCCGCTTGAATTTTATTATTGTATTTTTGCTTGACTTTTTGTTTATCTATCAATCGTTGATTAAGAGACATACCTTTATCTTTTAACTGTAAAAAAAAAAAATATTTAGCAGTTTCTTTTATTAATACAAATGTATCATTCTCGCTTATACGTTTGATGATAATTATACAACCTCTTGTTGTAAATTTCTGATAGTATCATTTGCACTGTTTAATCTGTACAGTAAAGTATCGATCTGTTCTTCAGTCTTGCATACGAGATTTTCCAAAATAGATATCTATAGCATTACAAAATAATATATACATATAAATCAATTTTTTCAATATCAATTTTTATGAGAAAAACAATGTAAATCAACAATCTAATCAGTAACAATATCTACTTTTTCCTTTTGTTGTTCATTCGACGCTCTCAATGTCGCATTTTCGATTTTTAGAGAAACATTTTCTCTGTCCATTTTTATCAGCATATTTCTTAAGTTGTTTTCTGAAAAGATTTAGTTTGTTAATTATTTTTACAATAACTTTCTCTAAATATCTATTACTTTATTTAAAAACATACGCTTCTGTTGCAAATCTCCTCTTAAGAAATTTCTCTTTTGAATGCGTAATTCCAAAAAACGCATTAGATTGGTAATTATTTGATCACTATGGGGACTTGTCATTTCCATGTCTGGAAAAGGACCACCGAGACTAAAAAAACCCATATATTTCAATTTTAATATTTTTCTTTAACTCTTTGCATGTACGATCCGTATATGAATCGCTAGTAATGAAAAGATTAATTATTATATGGTGTATACTTAATTATATGTATATTGTACCTGTATACCAATCCTATGTCTACATCTATATTAGCAGCATCAGCATTGCCTGCTTTTTCCAATCTGCTTCGTGCTTCTTTAAATATCTAAGAAAGAAGTGAAACTTAATATATAAAAAGTACATATTCTATTCAAAGAATAAAATTGTAAACATAATTTATTTTTTACCTTATTCGCTTGTCTCCGTCCAGGAGTATAGCCTAAATCTAATTTGGAGGCTACAGATCGTGCAACTTGAACTTCCTGAGTCATTTCTGCAAATTTCATTGCTTGCTGTACAGAGTAAAAAAAAAAATAAACTTTTGTTCATTTTCTCTATTAAAATTAGTGTACCATCTTATTTATTCGTCGAAACTTACTATTGTTTCATCGTAATCTTCTGCTCTAGGATTAACACATACAATCATCCTAATTTGTCCTTCGCCGTCAAAATAATTTTTGAATAAATGCGTAAGTTTAGAATCACGATAAGGTATCATTTTGTTGGTACTTTGAATTTGATTTTCTCTAAGAATTTCTAAGCACGTGCGAAGTGTCATTAACGAATTATTTATATTGCCTGAATGAATAATGTTAGATTTCATTATTATATAGAATTTATTTTTATAGAATTAATTAAAGAAAGATTATTATAGAATATACCTGCTTCTCGCAGTCTTTGACCCGTATTTTTAGAACGATTTGTACGCTCTGTTCCAGCTAAGTCTACGAGAGATAATTGACTAACACAAATAACACGTTTATCTTGTACAACTTGTTCTCCTTGAGAATCTAATGGTGCCTATAAAAAAAAAAATATTTCGTATAAATTAACTGCATATTTATAATAAACTTTGTATTTAATTTAAGCAAATATAACATAAATAACCTGCACAAGCCTTATAGTGAAAATGCTGTGAGATCTACTTGATTCAGCATTTAATGCAGTATGTGCTATGCGTCTTCTTCTTTGTCCTCGTTGAAATACCTTACATGCTTCTTCCGAAGTTTTGACTTCTATTTCAGTAACACCATGGACATACATATTTCGATTACCATCTTCGCGTATAATTTTACTCTGTAACATTCTAAATCTTATTTCATATAATATTACTGTTTTAAGATATAGAAAAATAAATCAATGCAAAATTTTAACTCACTTTGACCTTACTTCCTCGTCTTCGAGTAAATCATATACGCTATTATTATAAATTTCTATATATGTTACAAATACAGCATATCCGTTATCCTCATCAACCTGCAGCATATCTATTTCGTCTAGTGCGCATATAAAACTTGATTTATTGTCGTTATTATTATCTATCGATTGAACACAACTGTAAATGGTTTAAATCTTTGTTAATAGAATATAACACCTATAATAATTTTAATTGATAATTTATTATCGTATGAACAATTTACTGCCTGTATCTTCCATTTTGAGAGGTAGCAAAGTCTAAGTTTAATTCTCTTTGTTTGTCAAATTGTATCTCCGTCTCGCTTAGTATTTCAAAACCATTTAATCTGTCTGGCTGGAATGTAGATCTTTTGGTTTGATAATTCGCAATACTATTAAAAAGAATATCCAAGCATCGAGGCATAATTCCAGCATTGTGAACATCTCCATTCATTGTGTAAGTTTTTCCACTTCCTGTTACACCATATGTAAATAAGAGACTGTTTTCCCCATTAATAAGATTTGTCACAAGCGGTAATGCAACTGCATTAAATACTTCCTTTTGAGTCGTATCGTCTCCAAATACTTTACTGAATGATGTTTGTATTACTTTACTAACATTGCGAAAATTTATTGCTGTTTCAGGAGGTGTAACAATGATAGATGTACTAGATGCAATTTTCATACAAGAGATATCTGTAGAATTTAACATCGGCCTTATGCGACAATAAACTTGAACTGGTTCTACATTTTCTATTCTTATTTTGGTTGATTGCTTTCGACTTGTAACAGGTGGTTTCTGGCGCCTATGGATTTAGGACAATTTACGTATTAATAATGCTGATATTTAATATGTTTAAACTTGTTAAATAATTCTACATTTATTTTTACATCCGCTATTTTATTTTTTACATGTATCTGCACGTGTACTCTCAAATATATACACAGATGTTATTACAGATTAGCTACAGGTTAATCATTGCAGATTAGACAAAATACTGCAATAAAAATCATAAGTATGATAATTTGAAAAACTATTAAAGTTTGCACAGTTAATTTTGTAAACTTTTAATAGTTCCTATAATCATAGCACTGTTTACGATGATTTAACGAAAACACGTGCCAAATATGTAGATAAGATAAAAATTATATCATTTAAATTAAACTTACGCTAACTTTATACTGGACATGGTTAAATAATTCGAAGGAATGTTACGATGGAATGTTACGAAATAATATAATAATATTAGAATTATTTTAAAACATTATGATCATTTTTTTCTTTTCCTATTTTCGTAGATGTTCGTTACGAATACCTCATTCAAAATGAGAAACACAACACAACACAATACAACTTAGGTTTAACAACATACTAGAGAGGAAATAGCATTAAAGTGCAGTTAAAATGAGCAGGTTGAAATAGGTGGGATGCAGCAAGAAGTAATAAGAGACTCTGTCGGTAAAAAAGTTATCGACACTGTTTTATGATTAACGTTAAAATTGCTAGTAATTTTTTAATGATTATCTAGATATAGTTCGTGTAAATTCCTTGTGTATTATTTCTTAAAAGAAAACTAATTAGATACAAATTTACAAATAACTCTTGACAGTATCTTATAAATATATCTTTACTTAGTTCTCATTAGCAATAATTGTAATAAAGGATGTATATGTCTAAATTGAACAAAACTATATAATAATAGGAAAACAACCTTGCTTTATTCTTAATGAGTAAAATAATATTAAACATAGAATTTACAAGTTTATGTCTGTTTAACGTTTTAATTCTTGTATATCTTCTCTTTTGTGAGTTCCATCACAAAAGGGTCTATTTAATGTCTGTTTACAATTACATAACCAGTATTCTTTAGTCTCTGGGACTACAAATCGGATAGGCCGTAATTTAATTTTTAAGAATATATTCCTGTGTGTACCATCACATAAAGGTTGGCTTTTACTTTGCCCACATGAACACCAGTGATATATTTTTCCAGCTTTACAATGTAATTTGAAAGGTTTTTTATCGTAGATTGATCCGGTCTCTTTTTGCTCACTAGCACTGTATATTTCTTTCAATGGATTTACTGGTATCGAAGAATGCTGTGATTTCGTGCTATACATCATTATCTTGAAAATAAACAAAATACATTATTAATTATTTGACAGAATAATGCAGTTATTTAAATATATACGTAGATACACTTTTATCTTAAGTAAAATTACTATGATAGGAATATAGTATGATATAAGAAATCGTATTTGGTTAGTTTTGATCAACTTAAATGAACTTATTATTTTTATGAGATTTCATTTGAAAAGTACTTACTGATCGTGTAACAATTCTTATATATATATTTGTATATTATCTTTAACTTACTTTTTGATATTTTGCAACATTTGTGCGAATAAATCGCGGAAGTTTAATAGCCGTGGTGATATTCATTGTTCAGACAATATTCAGAAACATGTGTGTCTTCGATGATTCTCATCAATGAAAGTTTAAACACTTACTTCTATTATATTTTTTTTTCATTACCGACAGAGATTCAACAATGATAAATCAACGAACTACATCATTTACCGACGGATTGTCTTTACCGATAAAGTCAATACCTTCATATATCTTTCATTAAAAAAAAATCAAACGAGTTATTGTAGATAATGTAACATGGAATTTAATTGAGATATTTATTACGTATTAAATATAACACATAGACAACAATTTAATACGTTTATTATGAATTAGTATAATATATTATATCGTTTCAAATTTTTTAATTTTAATTACATCACTATAATCTTTCAATAAACAAATTAATTATAGATGAATATTCCAAACGATAATAAATGTATTTATTGATTTTTCGCGAATGTCTCTTTAATAATTATTTATTTATTTAATGATATAAGTACTCATTGATTAATCGAATAAATGGACTTTCTTTGTGCATTACGTGTTTGTAATTAACTGTTTTTCGGTTTCATGTTACCGTTGTGTCCGATTACAACAAACCTTATACATTCAATCTAAAAGTTACAATCACAGAATTGCTCTAACAAGCTAGAAAATATAGATTTACTATTTCCTTCTTCTTCGTTTAGGAATTCTAATTGATGACACATAAATTATACGATATTTTCAATAATATTCTCGAACAAAATGCGTACTCAAAACAACAATTATGTAAATGAATTTTTCATAAATTAATCGGGACAGCAAATTGAGGGTAGTTTTAGAAATTTCGAATTTTTCCTTTTTTTATCCTTGACCTTTTTTTATTCTTCTTTTTAGATTGAAACAACGACGTAGAGTCGTTGATAAGATCGACATGTCCAGTTATCGTATTTCTATGATTTAGATTAGATTAATCTGTTGACGTTTCTCGATCGTTACTGATCGAAGTCTAACGAGTCTTTAAAAGTGGAGAAATATAAGCAAATATATGCATACGTAACATATGTACAGTGTATACGTATAAAAGAGAAAGAAAAATAAAAAGAGAAAAAAAGAAATATATTTCGCTGGGGGAAATATCTCGACGATATATCATCGTACACGTTTAATACCAGATAATCTAATTCCATATCTCGTGTTCTTGCATAATTTGGCTACGTTTAAAGTGGAGCTGCTTCTTTTTCTTCTTCTTTCCTTTATCTTTAACGTTGGTAAAAAGAAGCTAATCGAAAAAGTACGAAATGGAAGGCTTAAAAGGCTCCATGTAAATCAATACAAATTTTTCAAAGTTGGGAGGGAAATGGAAAAAGAAAGAAAAAAGGGAAGAAATAATAACAAATTGAAAGTTAAAAAGCAAGAGAGAGGGAGAGAGAGAGAGAGAGAAATAGGGATAGTTTAACGCTGAGCTAACAAGAAGCTTTGCTGATAGGCACGAGCATGGTAGCGAGTGGCCTAATCGTTACACGATGTAGTCGCACGCGTTGCTTTGAATATTTAAAAAAAAGCGTAGGGAGTGTTATTTCCCACAGGAGGCGAGAAATTTGACGATCACTCGAGAATAATAAATGCCGATTTACATCTTAATTTTCTATCATACTTTTGGGGAACGACAGATTACTTTTTTCTAATATTTTTCTAAAATACAAACTCGACTCGAAAAACTGAAGTACCAGCCAAAAAGCTATTATTTGTTGTTGTTACTCTTCTCCTAATTGCTCCTCTAAATGGAGATTTTAAGAAGAGGAAAAAATTAAAAGGTAAAGAACTAAAAAGATGTCGAGATACAACAGGTAAACCTTTGAAAAACGAAAAGGAATGTAGAATTTTCAAACGATATTTCGTCTAATGTTATAATATTCATGAACTTGTAATGTAATTTAATTAGTGTTCCGTGTGAAAAGGAAATAAAGCAGTTTAGATAAGCTGTCGTCGAGGGACTTTGTTGCTTTTCCACGTTTTCCTTTTGACTTACTAACTCTAATTATCTCATAGGTAAAGAGAAAAGAGCTTGTTCCAAACGTTTTCTTTGTATATATATATATACACACACACACATATGTATTTCCTTTTATTTTAGCTGTTTACTCTTATCTTTGGTTAATTTGTTTCTTTCATATGAATAATATTCAATTGTTCGTTATAATTTACACACACACATGTGTATTAATGCATTAGGTTATTCGGAAAATAATCTCTCTGGCAATTTCTTCACTTCCAAAGATATTAAATTAGATATACTCGAAAAACTAATTGCCAAGTATATTCGTAATACGTCAAACTGTCCTTAAAGATAAAAGTAATTTTTTGATGTTGAAATTCAATTAGTAGAAATGCGTTCGTTGATAAAGAAATTAAATAAAAAACGTAAAACGTATTATTCGTAAATAATTGTTGCTAAATAAAAAACAAAAATCTATCTCTATCTCGGTTTATTTTAAAGATATTTATTTTTATATAGAAATATTTAGTTTCCTCTCTGTGAATTTACGTAGCGATTGGAAACTTTCTGCTGGTATTGTATTTACGTAGATTTTATATAACACGTAAATAGATAGACCGGTTGAATGGGACTTTGAGTAAAAATACTGATAATAAGCTATCCGATTAATTCGAGAATCATCCGTTAATTGTGTGATATGTAACAGAAAAGTATTAGCTTTAAATAATGATTTTATCTGTAGATACGTTTTTAAGAAAAAAAAAAAACAAACTACTTCTCTGTCTCTTTCTTTTTTCTTTACTCGAAGTTGGTATCGCGTGTGAAACGATAACCCATTCCCCGTGCATTTTTTCTTTCTCGTCGATCGATATTTTTGGACTAGAAAGTTTGATGAAAAAGATAATGTCGATAGGTTGGTTTATTGAAAGTCATACGTGTTTCCCTGTATTTTTTACTTTCGATTCGGTTCTTTTCTTTGGCGTTTTTTTTGTTTTAATTGAAAACAACGTATCGGCGTTGATAAATACGTCTAAAGAAAATTATGAGCCGATCGTTAACGCAATATCGTGTATTATTGAAATTTACGATACCTTTTGGCACGATAGTAATTTTAACGTTGTGCATCAAGTATCAATGGTTAATAATGAAGCTATTAGATAACGATTGCTGATCGTTTGTCAGTATTATAAACGAGAACGAGCAACGATTCGTAAATCGTCTGGGTTCGATATCGTACGTTTCGATTGTTTCAACGTATGACTCAATTCTTCCATTCGGGGAATTAAAAAAGAAAATGTATCTTTTTAATATTTTTATTACTCTTTTCTTTTTTATTTTATTTTTTTCTTTTTAATTCGATAATTTTCGGCCCAACATTTGTATTTCCATTTTATTCGTGTGACGATTAAATATACCTATTTACAAAAAAATAAATGAAGGAAAAATGTCCGTTCGTATTTCAAATTAAATTGAATAATTTTCATTTCGTTGATCTTATTTACGATAGTCAAGGAAGGTAAAAGTACTAAGAAGAATCTTAAGATGGGATTTGGTTAATGACCGAGCAAATCGAACTAGTGATCAGTGTAATTATTTCGGACGTTCGAACATTAAAGAAAGTGTCTCGAATCGGGGACTTTTTCATTCGTCAAGAAGGATTTTCGCGAATTTTCTTGGATATTCGTATAGGTTTTCCTAAAATATAGTTTTATTTTTAATTAATAAAAGACAAAAAAAAAAAGAAAATAAAAGGAAATACAAATTCAGCGATTCAACCACACGAATTCAACCAATTATTTTTTTTGATTAATTTAAAACACGACTCTTGAATAACAGATAAAAAAATGTATTTATATTTTCTTTGATTATTTTATCCTATCTCTCATACATTTTTCGTCTTCCTCAGATGAATCTCCGAGCCGTTTCTCGTTGTCTTTTCATTAATCATTTGTTTCGTCATGATACGTAATGTATCCTTGATGAGACTAAATTTCTCTCCGGAAAGTGAATTTCTTTGTTTACTGATGCCTATCTTGAATGCGTTAATAAGGTTCAACGCACGCTTTTATGTATTTTAGAAGCTTAAATACGTGTAAACATTTTGCACTGGGGGTATTATTTTCTTCTCCGAATATATAAGAAACAATAAAGTTTATTCGTAAAATTCGAATAATTAGTTTTTCATATCGAGATACTGAAACTTTAGTTACAGTTTTGTTATAAAAGTATGCATCGTATATACAATGTCTTTCCGGTTCATATATACTTGAAAAACAAAATTTCTTTTTTAGCACGGTAAACGTGACTTTTGATACTCATTGTATTTAAAAAAAACAACGAAGAGAGAAGAGAAAAAAGTGCATTAGAAGATGTCGAATGGGGGATTGCAAAGAAATTTGTTCTGACTCTTTTAGAAATAAAATCTCTTATGAAAGGAAAGAAATAAGTACAAAAACAAAAAATAAAATAAAGAGTACCGAGAGAATCTCGAAGGATTAACACCTTCTCCACCTTCTTCTCAGTTTCTTCTTTTTCATTATTATCCAGATAGAAACCTTTTATGATCCACAGTTGTCTGTTGCAAGCTTTAAGTATTACATTCTGCTTGCTTTCTTAGTTTCTCGTTCCTATTTCTCGCACTGATCGCACCCTGGAGATGGCAGGAAGATTAAAAAAGGGTGAACACTCGTTGGCCAACTAAGAAAATTAAGGTAGACACGACGTAGAAGAGAAAAAGGGTATTGTGTTTTTACTATTAGCGTGCTTTTTTTTTTTAAAGTGTCGTTAAAAATCGTGCAATTTATATATGATATATCCTACGTATTCTTTTGAGAGAAAACGTAATCTTTTACGTGAGCTGTTTATTGCTGATCCACGAAAACAAGGAAAATCATTTCTAGACATCGAAATTATTTTATATCAAAGATTTTTCATCTGATTCTTTTTTCTTTCTTTTTCTTTTTCTTTTCTTTATTGATTTGAAATTGATCAAATAAATACAGAATAAGAAATAAAGTTACTTCCCCCCCCCCCTCCGCCTCAAAGATTCGTTCATGTAATTAATTTGTATCATGCAAGAATGTAACCTTACTGCCTGTGCAAACAGCTGATATTTTATTTTGCAAAAGATTTGGATTTATATAACAATTGCAACAATTGTTAGAACATTAACTCCAGAACTTGGACACAACCAACCCTCGATTGTGTTCCGTGTTTATAATTAAATCATTATTTAAACGATGTGAGCAGTGTATTCAGTATAATGGATACCAATTTGAACAAATTAACGTGAACAAATATAGATAATTAATACATAAAAATATAAAAGTAATTAGTTCGTTTAAAACGATTTAAAGGAAAGCAACTTCTATCTCTCACCCTGTTTAATAAATACTTATGTTATAGGAAAAATATAATTTTTTTTAATTGATCGCGAAAGATGTCTTATATACTAATTACATAAGAAAAATATCGAATAGTTGGTATGTTTTTGTTAACCTTGTCATCGACAGCTAATGGTAATTATTAACGATAATACATCTGATATGTAAAGAGTACAAACACTCATAAAATATATTTACGTGGTACCATTGAAGAGAAGAAAATAATATGAAAATTATCATCGATTATTATTAATTGTTTATTTTACGTCCTTTTAATTATTATACGAAAAAAAAATTAAACAAAAAAAAATATATATATATGTAAAAATATATGACTCATAAATCAATTTCGTTTTCGTTATCGTATATTATAATAATTGTAATAGGTGTAAATAAAATTAAAAGAAACATGATGTGAATGAAAATTGAAGACTTTCACAATAATTGTCTCTCATTTCTACTCTCGATTGAGAACACGTTGCGTGTTCGTAATGGGCATTAAATAAAATCTAATTAACGGGGACGAATCATATCGTGATTGTGTCGCGACAATGATTTTTCCTCGTAATCGTTCAAATTCCCATTAGGTTTTCTAATAAATCAATCGATTATGTAAATGACGATGGAGTGACATAGCTTATCTCCATAAACGATTGTTCGTTCTATTCGAATTCGCGGTAATATTAAACTTCGGTATCTCTTTTCTTCCCCCAAGTTTTTCTTTCCCAAAATTTGTTGTATTCTCTTTTTTTTTTCTTTGTAATTTCATTTGATTGGATATTGAAAAAATAAAAAAAAAAAAATAAAAAAAACCTATTCTTCAATCACGAATATAAAACAATATACTATGGGTATTCGTTGAAGTGCCATCAAAAAATTTCGACCAACGTATCGCGTTTGGTCTATCACTTAATACACAAAACACACATACGTGAGCGCGCGCGCGCATATTTTGTAATAAAAAGAATATATTAAAAAAAAAAAAAGAAAAAAAGAAAAAAGGGAGGAAAAAAAGATCAAAGATATCGCGGCAAGAATCATCGATTAGACAAATTTACGAGGAAAAATGCGTCAGCAGCGGTCATATGGCGAGATATCGAGATACGAAGGAAATGAAGAAAGAAAAACTAAACAAACAAGAATTCCGTACAAATTACCGTGTGTGATTTAAAGAAGGTACTCAAAAAAGGTGAGCCAGCGCAAATAGTATCAAATTTATTTTCGATGAATAAGAGAAAATCGCGAATAGTGTGCCTCGAAAAAGCGCGTGAGTTTTCCAAGCGAGTAGAGTGGATGAGGGTTGTGATCGTTTTGTTTAAATTGTTAGATAAAAAAGAGAGATAAAGGGAGAGAGAAAGAGAAAGGAGAGGAAAAGGGAGAGGGAAAAAAATGGTAGATATGTCAATGGTTTACGAAGAGGGTGCTAAGCTCGTACCGGATTGGTGGAACAGAAAGGGTATCTGTGGATTCTCTCGTGGGTGGTTGGGCGAGACTATATAAAGCGTTTCGTCGTTCATGGGACACCACAGTTGCTTCTTCTACGTGTTGCTTCACCTGCATTTCGCAATCCTACGTTCGCGTTTCATCCCCCAACCGCGAAATAGAAAGAGATCGAGAGAGGGAAAGAGAGAGAGAGAGAGAGAGAGAGAGAGTGAGAGAGAGAGGGAAAGAGAGGGAGAGAGGAGGAATTCAAGGAAGGTGAAAGAGTTTTTTTTATCGGTGCTCGCGTTCCCCACCAATTGTTTTTTCTTCTCCTTTTTTTTTTTTTATTATTCTTTTTTCTTTTCCTCTCTTTATATTCTATTCTTTCATTCGTATTCATTTGGACTATGTGACCGAAAGTTATCTTTTAATTTTCCCGTTAACGAAGGAAGGAATAACGTTTATCAATCGATGTGGTCGAAAGGACGAATAAAAAAAACAACGAAAGAGAGAGAGCGTGCGTATAATCGTGGGGAAAAATTCTTTTTCTTTTTTTCTTTTATTTGCGCATGTTTTTAATCTTTCGATTTAACTCTTTTAATATTAATTATTAATCTCTCTTTTGTTCGTAAAAGGAATCGTGTAATTGAAAAATAAATTTTGTACTCTCTTTCTCGGCAACATTATTAGCGATCTTTTGGGTCGTAATTTTTTATTATATAAAATAATAAGTAATTAATTAAAAAGTAAGACGCGCGAGCAACAACAAGTTACTACGAGAGAATACTGTCAATTTCATTTTGGTGAGCTTTCAGAGACCCACGGTTGGGAAAACGTTAGTAAAACGAACGGTGTTACGTAACTCATTGAGAAACGTTACAAAACAAATGTCAATTTTTGTTTCTTTTGTTCTTGGAAAATAAATAACTCGATTGCGGGGCTTCCAATTGTTTCAAATTTGACGGTCAGAAAAAACCAGGATACGAAAGAAATGTCACTCAACTCAATTGATTTGAGGAAACTTTTATGTCAGTTTTTTCTTTTTTTTTCTTGTTTTCTTCTTTATTTTTGACAGCCCTTATTATTTTTTCCTTTCTTTTTTGGTTATCAATTATTTGAAAAGTAAATTGATCGATGAACCGATTCGGAATGAGTGAAAATGAAACTTAACTAGTATTACGATAGAATTTCGATCGGAATGAATTGCATCTTTTCTTTATTTTGAACTCATAGGTGCGAGAATGCTCTCTCGTGGGATAAAATCATCTATGGTGCCGACTTTCAGTAGCATTCAATTGATAACGTGCCTGTGGATTGGGTGCACCCTTTGGTGCCTCGTGCAGGCCACCGATGGCCAACATTTTTATCTTCAAACTCGTTACGACAAACGTGACGTTTCACGTGCGGACGTGCCAGGTGAGCTTTCGAAATCATTCTTTCCGATCTCTATCTAAACCACACGATTTATCTTTTTCCAATCATTGTCCGATTTTCTTTCATTGATCAATTCATCCTCCTCCTACTCCTCTTTCTCTTCCTCGCACATATTTTTCTTTTATTTTCTTTAATAAAAACATCGATCAAACGGTGGAACATTGATTAGACAAGTTTGATAATTTGATCGATGCGAATGTCATTATTGTTATCCAAATTTTGGTTTTCAATCATACGAATAGAAATTGAATATATATTTTTGTCGAACACAATTACAGGAAATACTTTATATAAGTTTATAAGAAACAATTCTTTTTTATGGAATGATGGAATATTCATTCGTCATTTATTTATTTTTTTAATAATGATTTATCAAACTTTTAAACAAAGTAGGCATTCATGAGAAAGTTGATTGAAGGGTTCCGGATAACTCAATAGTTAGAAAACAATTGCTTGAAAGCTACATTTATACACAAGTATAAATTTTATATGATAATGGTTTTAAATTAACACTATGATTTTATAATTGTCTTGACAAATAGTACGATATGAGCGTTCAGCGATTTATAATACGAATGGAAGATACGGAAGAAGCGAGTCAAAGATTTCTGAGGAACCATCGAGACCGATGAAAATCGTGCCAAGAAACAACATGTTCTTCCTTGGAAGTAGATACGGTAAAAGATCTCTCGAAGATCAACAACGTGTTATTTATCATTCGGAATATCCGTTGGAACGTTTGGATGCTGTTCTCGAATACGTTGACGAAGCACGTCGTGTAGCCGAAGCGAGGAAAAATCAACGAGATGATTCGCGAGAGGAAGATGAACGACAAGATGATTTGGTGGAAGCTGCAGCAGCAGCAGCGGCAGCAGCCGCAGCAGCAGTTATTCCTTTTCAATAAGCGTTCAATCATCTTATCTAGATAGTTTATTTCTTTCATTTACCTCAATGAAAATGATCTCTTTTACTTTACTTATTCTTTCTCTCTCTCTCTCTCTCTTTCTTTTTTCCTCTTTAAATTTTTAATACAAAATATCCGATTAATCGATTCTTCCCATTATGTAAATTACATTTCTTAGATAGAGAGTTCATTGGTAAAAATTTGAAAGAAAGAGAAAGAGAGTGTTCATAATTTGTCTTACATTTATGCGATTTAACTCTCGAACACTAGATGTGCTCGATGTTTTCCCTTTTTTTCATTTTTAGATAACTTCGATAAAAAAAAAAAAGAAAAAAAAAATATATATATATATATATGTAAAATTTCTTTTTGACAATTAATAACAACTTCCTTCCTACTCTTTTTCTTTCTTTCTTTCTTTATTTATTTTGCTTTATTTTACTTTATTTTATTTTATTTTATTTTACCTTCCCGAATCTATTCTCATCATCTTATTTCAATTATTTGTCTTTTTAATTAAAATGAGAAAATACAATGGATGAGTAGATGCATGTAATTTGTCTCATGTCAGTTTGAAAGAACAACGTTCTCGTAGGACAATGATTTCTTGGGAGAATGATAATTGGACCGCTGCGAAAGAGTCTTAATTAGATATTAATTAGAAAGTTTGTTAATGAAATTTCTTTTCGCAATGTCAAAAATTATTCAAAGACATTTTCTTTTTTTTTTATGAACCGTCGAGTTTTTGTATTAAAGAAAATTTGTTAAAGAAAAGTTGTCTAATTGGTTAAAAGAGATTAGCAATCAATTGTTTTCCAAATTATTTGAGGAAACTCTTTAATCCTATTTGGGACCTACTTTTGAAGTATCGAAGTGAGAGAAAGTAAGAGGAGCAGTTTGTTGGCTGACGCCTGTGCTCTCGAGAAAGTCAAATCTTTTCTGAACGTAGTAGGATCGTCTGACTGGATGGAAGCAACAGATACACGAGATATAATATATTGAATTGCTTTTAAAAAGTAATTTAGTTAATTGCGTTTACTTGTACACCCTGGCCTTACCCTCATTTTCAAGATTATTTGACGTTATAGCAACGGATACTTCAAAAATGATTTTAGAATCTTCTTGCGTTTCGATTCGTCAACTAGTTTTATCTGTTCTTTTTGCAATCCTATCAGAAATGGAAAATCAAAGTCTGTGTTTTCGTCATGGTTTGCTTTTTTTCTTGTTTTTATTATTCTACACAAGAGCGATTGAGAGAACAAAATTATTTTCCGTATATTTCCTTTTACTGAAATGATTCTGTTAAGCTATACCAGCCAGTGTTAAAATTAATTTTAAAAATTTCGTTAATAAGATAATTTTAATTTGTAAGATGTATTATATTATGTTAAGGTCGTCCAATTGAAAGAGATAATAGTAAAATAAAGGAATTGGGGGATGCTGATCGCATCCTAATGAACACCTAATCTCCCTAATAGATTCTAAATTCTAAGAAAAGTGTTTTTCACTTATCATTTAAAAAGCGAAATTATTTTCCAATTAATCTAATGAAACATACAATATAAAATATATATACATATATATATGTAACAAGTACATGTACGTTGTATACACACTATATACATAATTACGTATAAAAGTATATATACTGTTCTTTGATTTCTATCCACCCACTATATTTTGTAACGTGAAAAATATCATTGTCGTTACAAAAACAACATTTACGTATTTCGAGATTAAATTTTATTGATAAAAAATGTAAAATACATGAATATGTATTTATGTAGGTAGAAAATTAGATCATAGTAACAATAAAAGGCGTCTATGCAATACTATACCTTCCTTTTGATATTTTCTTTTTTTATTCTTTTAACGAATCATTTTATATATATTCTATTTTATTTAATTTAATATTTAACCATTTGGAAAGATCTCCATTTATTTTACATAAAATCGTTTTAATTAAAAAAAAAAAAAAACACGTCGGACGAGTAATCGGCTTCTTTGTTTCCATAAAATTTATTTAGATATTTTTTGTGCGATCGTTAATTAATTTTTACGATTAAAAAAACAAGAAAAAAAAATTAAAAACGCGAACGTGACGATGTTGCATCGGAGTCGACGTCCTCCGACGATTCTTCGATCGTTTGACGATTATTATACCGGATGACGTTAGTACACATACGGACAACACGCGAGGTCACAGATTAGATTTCACTCTTTTCGTGATGTCACCATGAACATACGGATGGTAATCATCATACAAACGCGGAAACTTTCATTCACGATACTCTCCATATATAAAACTTTTCCATTTCAATTCGTCGAATTATATTGTTTCTTCTTCTTCTTCTTCTTCTTCTTCTTCTTAGGGTTGGTGTTTTATAATTTTGTTTTTAATTCCCTAAACACTATTCCTTCTTTTTCATCCAATTCTTCTAATTACAATTCGAATGCAAATCAAATAGGTGTAGAAGATAGGTTATATATAAATATATAAATATATGTATAAATATATGTATAAATATAATGACTATTGATATACAAATAATTCGAAATTCAAACGTAAAATGAATTTTTGTTATAAGCAACAAGCGAGTCAGAAATTATAATAGAAAATTATCCAAATTGTAGTAGAAATTAGATTTTATCCTGTTGCCAGTCTATTTCTATCATTACGAAGACTTGAATAATGTATTATCAATAATTTACAATTTCGCGTTTTGTTTTATTATCACCTTTTATGCGTCGCTTGCGTCATTAGTTGTTTAACAAGTTCGATTTATATTAATACATACATCCTTCTGCGTTTGATAACAACCAAATATTATGCAGTTAGAGTTTTACTTTGTAATCAAATAAATGGTTGATACGCGAAGGTACGTACAATGGATAAAACAAATATGCACTCGGTTCTCGTTAAAAATTTTCATTAATTAATCATAAATAAAAAAGAAATAATAATAATAATAATAATAATAATAATAATGAATATATTTGTGTGAGAATAATGAAAAAGAATTCTATAAAAAGTGTAACAGTAATACGCGCAATAAATGCAAGTACAAAAGATTTACCATTCGAAAGCGATTCCCGCTTTATTTCTTTCCTTTTTTATTATTTTTTTTTTTATTTTTAGAACTCGATCGTTTAATCGTGCAAGATGCCTACATAACGTTTTTTGCATACGTATTTATATATATATGTATGTCCTACGAATAATAGGTTTTTGTTAAAAGTAACCATGCTCACTTAGTTGCCAACCCAATATATATATATATATGTATATATGTATATATGTATATATGTATATATGTATATATGTATATATGAGATCGCAGAGACATTGGACTTTCGAGTTCACGGAGAAAGTTTAGCTCTAGCACTCGAATACCTGCCTGCCGACCTATAGAGAGGCGTCTATATAAATAAAAGGAACGTCGATGATCTCGCTCTCCGTTTCGACCCAGTTTTTTTTTTGCTGTATGCACCTTGCAACTGAACGGCATTCCTCTAAACGCGATCACTCTGTGTTTCTTCTTAAAAAATAAACTTATAGTTATTAGTGCACATTAGAGAGATTATTATTTCAATTTTTAACCACATTATATATATATATATATATATACAATTCTCTCTCTTTCACTCTTAATCTATGATCATCATGCATATTATTTTGTTATAGAAAGAAAAAGAAAGAAAGAGAGAGAGAGAGAGTAAAAAAAAGAGAGAAAGAGAGAGAGAGAGAGAGTCATTCATTATGTATATTTAACAACGTCGTTCACTTTCGTTTTCATCCTTATGGAATAGAATTAACACATATTTTCAATCTCCGTGACTGTAATGACTGATCGTTTGATTTATTTGCGAGAACACAAAGAATGATAGATTCTTATTGATTTAAAGTATCTAATTGAATGCGTATCTTTAAAGGGAATATAATGAAATGATAATATTTTGAAAATAGAAAAATAAATAGATAGAGAAAGGTATAGAAGGTGGTGATACGAGACAAGGAAAGTATCGTTGTCGTAGTCGCGAGTAATCCTTCATCGTCTATGTTTCGAATATATAATTTTATCTAGACACGCTTTCGCCCGTCCCATATAAACGTCACCTAAATCCACCACGACTTCCTCTTCGAGAAACGCTCTTACTTTCTTCGTCAATTCCATCGGCGTAACATCATCGCGCAACACACGAGAGAACGCGTTTTTTTTGTCTTCAATTTCTTTTGCAATGATCCACCCGAGTCAATTGTCTATGTGCATTGGGAGGGGAGGGATGTGTAATCGGTTGGGAAAACAATTAGGTTTTTTTTTAAGTCTGTTCGTTAATTTCTTTTTTTTTATTTAGAAACAATTAAAACCAATTGTAATGTTAACGTTCTCTTGCAGATATCCAACTTATTTTTTTATATATTGGGTCAGAGTAAAATTGTTTTTTTTTTCGTATTTTAAATGCGAATTGTTCATACAATTTATTTTTTTTTTTCTTTTTATATATTTCGTACAGCAGAGATTTTTTTTCAAATGGTTTCAAATTGTTCTTCAAATCGATATTTAGTTCTTTACCGATAAAGTAATTTGTTGATTTTTTTTTCTTTTTGCAATAAAATTTCAAAATGTATCGGATTTCTTTTTCGTGTTTCGTCAATAACTTTTAACCGAACAAACGTACGTCAAAATATTCTATGATCTTTCAGCTTTTAAATGTACGCAAGTTTTGTGCCAGATACGATTAATATTACCAAAGTTATGAGATTTTAAATTTATCAGGAAAATACGAAGAAACTTTTTCCCCTGACTTGGATATAATTTTGTTATAAATTTTAAATGAATATATTAATTCAATTAACAAGAATTATCTCTTATAATAATAATAATAATATACATTTTATAAATTTAATAGATACATTTTTTTTTTCTAATCGACGACGTTCTTATGCGATTAGAAATCTTGGGAATTTATAAACAATACGATACACTGTAGGTAATTTATGTGTTAATTTGACATACACTGGAGAGATATTAGCAAAGAATATTATTAATTATCTTTATGCGATT